TTCTTAAAAGGTATGTTTGACAATTATCAACTTTCGACGAGCATTATATGAATCCTATTTCGTTTGCTTGTTATTGCAACTTATCGATTGTTATTCTACGATCGATAAATAAGGAACAGAGATGACAAAATAAAGTTTCTATTCAGAATCCAAATACACCTAGCATCATTGGGAGCCTGTTTGAACTTGACATTCTACCCCATTTGCTTGACGTTATAATAAACCTGAGAGAGCGCCAAGACTGAATCAAAGGCAGCGAGGACTCTATTTCAAGCTGGAAGAGTATGTAGCGTCGATTTTCTACGTTTATTCAGATGTTACGAAATTCGACTTTCCAAACCGTATTTGAGTTAGTCTCATATAAAAGCCAGATTGAATCACGGGAGCAAATCTTTTCTGCTTTCATATTATTTACCAAAAAGTACCACTTCAATATGAAATTAAAACCTGGAATTATATATTATATATAATGTATGATTGTTTGATTCTGCTAAGGCAAGTCAAGAAACAGTAATAAATGGCATTGAAATTAGCTTAAAAACTTGTTTATAAAATTTTTATTAAGTACTCCTTAACAATTAATATTAAAAATTAATTTTATTTCAAATTTCCGAGTGTTCCTAACAAATCGTGTAATGACCCTCGTGTTGTGTGGGAACACTTCCTGATCATTTCATCCTCCAGGACTCTATCCTTGTATCTGATATAATCAGTTCCCAAATAGGTATCTATGCAGATGTCACAATTTACACATGTCATAGTAGCAAATCCGAAATTTTGGATTAGCATTTCATTACAAAAGTTAATCGGAGAAAAGACTCATGAACCACACAATGCGTGTAAGAAGCGGTAGCAAAAAGTAGTGGTTATGAGGATAAGGAGGATATATAACGACTGCCCATTAACGTCAAGCGTTTATGATTGTACTTTACACGGAAGCAGCCATGAGTGTTCCATACAGTGTCAGCCCTTTTTGAAAATTCTGCCAAAGTGATACTTCCTTTTTAAATTTAAGAAGTGTAGGAAATGCAGCTGATTCGCTTCCGTGGATGTAGCGTTGCGTGTCCGACCAGGAAATGCTTTAACTGGTGGAACTAAAGACATCAGCTATTCTGATCATTTGCCTTGGAAATAGCAACAGAATTGCGCCAGAGGTTGCGGGTTTCATTGATCCTGATCCGAATACAGTCCTGTGTTTTACGGCTTATCAACCTTTTGATGGTTATTTAAAGCCAGCAAACATTTTTTGATTATAACGAATAACTGCTACAATACCTATTCATTAACCCATAGTTAGGGGAGAAAAAGTGAATTCATACATTTCCCAAGTAAGTAAATATTAAGAACTCAACCGGAATTGGAACTCGACTTCCCGAGCTGTTATTTATTACACCCTATGCACATCCAAGCTCACAGCACCTGGTTTGATTTGGTTTGGTTTGTTTTGTTTTACGCCATATAAACCCCAATGGGTTATTTAGTGCTGACAAATTTTTTATTACGGGTAACATGTTTTCCTCTTTCAAATAAATCTATTTCTGGTATATTTTTTTCTTCAAGAATATATTACTGGTAATTTTTATTTTCCAAAAATATATAGCTGGTAATAATTATTTTTTCAAAAATGAATTGCTGGTAATTTAAAAAAAAATTATTTCTAGTATTAAAACCAATTTTTAAACTTTCCTAGTGTTTTGACCCCAGTTTAGGGGTTAACTATTTGCCCATAGCTGGGACCCTAAAAGGTGCTACCACCACGGGCCAGGGTGGACCTGGGAACACCAGCAATTAAGAAGTGCTTTCACGCTCCTCAAAACATCCTGATCAGAGATCTTGACGTTGGATGTAGTTTGTTGTATTACCCAGGACGCAGATATAGTTTAAAGTCCTACCCAGGACGCGGATGTAGTTTATCGTCATACCCAGGACGGACAACACCTGGTATTCTCAAGCGGTCATCTATATAGGTAGTCAATAGGCTTTGCTTCGTTGATCTTGCGAGAATTGGTGTGATATGGCCGTAAGCCATAGTGTGATTAGAGATGGTGAGTCTTGGGAAGCGTCACTGGGTTTTGTGTTTTCTGATCTATGAAGGGCCTGAGCAACGACCTAACATATGTTTCCTCTTAACAGAATAATTACATCGTTTTCTATAAAAAAAAAAAAACAAAAAAAAACTGAGACGTGTGTTTTTGTTTGAGGAATAACTTACGGCCATATCACGTTGAAACAACGGTTCTTGTAGTTTCAGCGAAGTTAAGCAACGTCGATTCTGGTCAGTTCCTAGATGGGTGACGGCTTGAGAATAACAAGTGCTGTGAGCTCGGATGTGCAGGAGGTGTAGCGAATACACTATTGTCCTCATTATTGTCGCATATTTATTACAAAGTTTCGGCCGTTGTACGCTCTGGCCTTCTTCAGATGGTTGGAATATTGAACTGAACCCTTTATTTCGCTCACTGGTGTAGACTGTTCTAGTTCCACGTGCCATGTTTAATAGATGTCAGTTGTCAGTTATCTGTTAATTCTCCACCGCATTAAGTGGGTATTGAACTCACACTCTTTGGGTTCTGTCACTAGATCTAACTAGCGCCTTTATCCACCGTTTCATGTGTCCTTGAGGACATCTGTGTATGAATTTCTGGGTATTATAAAACATTTTTTATCAGTGCTCATATTGTAACGAATAACGGCGCTGACTTAGAAATCGGGGAGTCAAATTATATCCGAGTCGGTTTCACCTTGGGAAATTAATGAATCCATTTCTCGCACAAAGGTATAGGTTAATTAGTAGAACTTGTATTAGTAAAAACTACGTCTTTCTTTTTATGTGCCATGTCTTTTGAGGACGTAGGCGGTCATGGCTCTCCACCTCCTCCTATCCCTTGCAGCTCTCAACAAGTTACTTTTCCTCTGATTTCTCCCCCAGACCACGTTCTGTCATGCACTTGCTTAAGTCCACCAGGTATGTCAAGCGTTGGTTTCCCTTGTCTCTCCTTCCCACTATTCGACCCATGAGTATCAGATTCTCCAGGCCTTCCTTCCTCATTATGTGTCCCAGAAACTTCAGCTGTCTCTTCCTGGTATTAAGTATAAGCCTCGTCCTTGTTTGCAACCTCTCTAAAATCTCATCGTTGCTCACACGATCGGTCCATAATATCGTATTATCTCTAAAAAAAATTACAATTTTAAAATATTTTCTAGCTTTAAATAACCTGAAAAAGCTTCATAGACCTATAAAAATAAACCAATCAATCAATAATTTGAGGAATGGACGGGATTCTTTGCGTTTTTAATCAACAATTAAATATGTTAAAAAAGTAAAATAGACTGATAAAAGTATCGTTAGTAACGCTATATTCGTTGCGTGAATGCTTACAGCTATAAACAGCTGAAAAACAATGGAAAAGTGCCACATACGCTACGTTTATATTTTATAATACGATACAAATATGGAAATATTTCATGCATGATTATTGGATACATTTAAGCGAAACGTCAATTTTATCAAAATCATGCTTATTTTAAATACAGCTGTATTTTTTGACTATGCAAATTGATATATAGTTTGATCAAAATCTGGATGCAGTTTATATTGGCTATTGATGTTAAAGTTCTTTGCAGCGAATTAGTTAAAAATGTAGCAGTGAAATATTTGTGGCGCGTGCAAGCTATTCACAATAACGTCGACACACATGACACATCCTCGGACTGTTAGTGTAAACTCTGATAGCGGATATTGTAGGAAAAATGCATCATTCGTCGCTGTTTTTAGATGACTGTCTTTTGCAGCAAACCTAATATTAAGATTTCGGGGCTGACTCCAAACGTTTTTGATGTCCACGGTCACGGTGACCTTAGTGATGTCATATGTTCATTGGAAAGCTGAAATAGACATGGCACCTAGCAAGTTATTTTCCTCAGAGGACAAAAGAAATAAAAATAATCCGATAATTAACTTGAACACCCTGAATTTCTCTTGACGCAAAAGCAGTATTATCGATCAGACATTACTCAGCGCCTGTTGTCCGTAAAGCAATGGTTAGCAAGTGTGCCACGCAGTTGATACTTTTAAACTGAATTTGATGCTCACTAGGTGCCACAGTGAGCCAAGTTTATCAACAACAGTGACTTTCTGTTTAAATTTCCGGGTTGATTTGTTAGTTGTTCTTGGTTAGAGGCATAATATTTTCTATGGCTTAATTAATGACAAAATCTAAATATGTTTATGCAGTATTTTAGTGCTACAGATCTTAATAATTAACCCATAGACGGGGAGACGAAGAGATGTATTCATATATTCTCCAAGCGTATAACGAAACCAACTGGAATTGGAAATCGCCTTTCTGTATTCACACGTGCTCACCAATCAAGTTACAGACACAGCTCGACGTTGCTTAACTTCGATGATCGTGCAAGAACCAGTGTTTCAAATTTATATGGCCATAAGCCATTACACCATCCTCACATCCAAGCTCACAGCACCTGATATATCCAAGCCGTCACCCATCTAGGTACTGACCGGGCTCGACGTTGCTTAACTTCGGTGATCGTTCAAGAACCTGTGTTTCAAATTGATATGGCCATAAACAATTACACCATCCTCACATCCAAGCTTACATCATCTGGTTTACCCAAGCGGTTACTCATCTAGGTACTGACCGGGTTCGACGTTGCTTAACTTCGATGATCGTACAAGAACCAGTGTTTCAATTTTATATGGCCATAAGCCATTACACCATCCTCACACCCAAGCTCACAACCTGATATATCTCACCCATCTAGGTACTGACCGGGCACGACGTAAATATCGTTCAAGAACCTGTGTTTAAAAATTGATATGGCCGTTACCCATCCTCACTTCCAAGCTTACATCATCTGGTTTACCCAAGGGTTACTCATCTAGACGTTCGACGTTGCTAACTTCGATGATCGTACAAGAACCAGTATTTTCAATTTTATATGCTCTTATGAGCAATTATACCATCCTCACATCCAAGCTTACAGCACCTGGTATACACTAAGCCGTCACCCATCTAGGTAATGACCGGGCCCGACGTTGCTTAACTTCGATGATCGTACAAGAACCAGTGTTTCAAATTGATATGGCCATAAGCCATTACACCATCCTCACACCCAAGCTCACAGCACATGATATATCTAAGCCGTTACCCATCTAGGTACTGACGTTGCTTAACCGGTGATCCTTCGAACCTGTGTTTCAAATTGATATGGCTTAAAACAATTACACCATCCTCGATGATCTGGTTTACCCAAGCGGTTACCATCTAGGTACTTACCGGGTTCGACGTTTTAACTTCGATGATCGTACAAGAACCAGTATTTCAATTTTATATGCTCATAAGCCATTATACCATCCTCATCCTTACACCCAAGCCGTCACCCATCTAGGTAATGACACCTGATATTGTATCAATTTTATAGGCCGTTATTACCATCCTCACATCCAAGCTCACAGCACCTGATATATCCAAGCCGTCACCCATCTAGGTTGACCGGCCTCGACGTTGCTTAACTTCGGTGATCCTTCAAGAACCTGTGTTTCAAATTGATATGGCCATAAACAATTACACCATCCTCACATCCAAGCTTACATCATCTGGTTTACCCAAGCGGTTACTCATCTAGGTACTTACCGGGTTCGACGTTGCTTAACTTCGATGATCGTACAAGAACCAGTATTTCAATTTTATATGCTCATAAGCCATTATACCATCCTCACATCCAAGCTTACGTCACCTGGTACCCAAGCCGTCACCCATCTAGGTAATGACCGGGCTCGACGTTGCTTAACTTCGATGATCGTACAAGAACCAGTGTTTCAATTTTATATGGCCATAAGCCATTACACCATCCTCACATCCAAGCTCACAGCACCTGATATATCCAAGCCGTCATCCATCTAGGTAATCGAAGTTCCCGTCTTCTCTGATTGTCTTGCAGGTCGTGAGCAATTAAAACCACGTATGTCTGTCCACATTGTCACCAAAACCCTAGGGTCAATGTCACTGCTTACATCGAGACACAGGTAACCGTTGTCTGGACCAAGGACGCGCTTTGGGGGAGGCACTACTTGGACCAGCAGGGCTCTATTCTCTTTCACACAACTGTCAAGACCTAGGATGAGCTCTCCGAACATTTTCACTATCATGAATATTTGGCCTCCTAACTAACCGGGTTTATAACCACTGAACTTTTATATATGGCTTTTTCTGAGAGGAATACCATCAAGCAAGTACGCAATACCAAGGACTCGCTGAAGGCTGCTATTATAGACGACATGGATAACGCTTGAAGTGTTCATGAAGAACACTTGATAAAAGCATATTTTAGAAGCCGGATCGAGGCTATAATCGGAGTTGCTGGCAGACTGGAATAGACTTGTGTGTATGTATGTGTGTATATAAGAAAATATGTATGCATTCTTTAAACGAGGTTGCGTTATAATCCCGGAAGTCGAAATTCTGAAAATTTAAAATCTCGAAATTTGAAACCCCGAAATTGGGAGGAAAAAAAAAAAAAAAGAAAAAAGAAAAGAAAAAAGAAAAAAGAAAAGAAAAAGTTACCATTATTTCTAAAAATTTCCAAGGTTAAAAGTATTTATACACTTAAAACCAGAATATATAAATAACTCTACTGAAAGAATTATGAGCAAATGCCCAAATATAGTCAATAAGATCTGGTCGATTTTCACGATCTTTAACTGTATTTCTAAGCACTTCATCACGGTAAAATAGATCTTTGGTTTTCGTTTTGGTCAAGAATCTTCTTGGAGAATGCGTTCATATTCGTTTTCTACATGCTAATGATTTTTTTTAGCTCTCCAATAATAATAATAATAATAATACCTTACTTATTATAAAACGCAGATTGTGTGTGTGTGTGTGTGTGTGTGTGTGTGTGTGTGTGTGTGTGTGTGTGTGTGTGTGTGTCTACGTTTATATATTGGATCAGATTTTCTAGATTCTTCAACCGATTTCAACAAAACTTCACAGGACTACGTAAAGTTACGTTGCGGCGGTTCTGACAGCGCCAAAAATTGGAAAAACACAATTGTTTTTGCACGAAATCAATTTGAAAACATGATTCTGTCGCGAGAATGAAAGGGGGACAACTCATATCAAGTTCTACTTATTATAAAACCAATTAGTAACCCCCACCCCCAAAAAATAATAATGAAGACATGCGTGTCCGTCAACCTTAAACAATAATCTTTGTCAATTTTATTTTTCAGTCTTTATGATGGTCGATACTTGATCTATCTCTTACAATTACATCCCCGGGCAACGCCGGGCTCGATATGATCATTGCCTGCTAAATTTTCCCATCGCTAGTTAATAATAATGGAATAAACACCGATATGATCATTGCCTGCTAAATTTTCCCATCGCTAGTTAATAATAATGGAATAAACACCGATATGATCATTGCCTGCAAATTTTCCCATCGCTAGTTAATAATAATGGAATAAACACCGATATGATCATTGCCTGCTAAATTTTCCCATCGCTAGTTAATAATAATGGAATAAACACCGATATGATCATTGCCTGCTAAATTTTCCCTCGCTAGTTAATAATAATGGAATAAACACCGATATGATCATTGCCTGCTAAATTTTCCATCGCTATTAATAATAATGGAATAAACACCGATATGATCATTGCCTGCTAAATTTTCCCATCGCTAGTTAATAATAATGGAATAAACACCGATATGATCATTGCCTGCTAAATTTTCCCATCGCTAGTTAATAATAATGGAATAAACACCGATATGATCATTGCCCATCGCTAAATTTTCCCAAATTTTCGCTAGTTAATAATAATGGAATAAACACCGATATGATCATTGCCTGCTAAATTTTCCCCATCGCTAAATTTTCCCATCCATCGCTAGTTAATAATAATGGAATAAACACCTGCTAAATATGGAATAAACATTGATCATTGCCTGCTAAATTTTCCCATCGCTAGTTAATAATAATGGAATAAACACCGATATGATCATTGCCTGCTAAATTTTCCCATCGCTAGTTAATAATAATGGAATAAACACCGATATGATCATTGCCTGCTAAATTTTCCCATCGCTAGTTAATAATAATGGAATAAACACCGATATGATCATTGCCTGCTAAATTTTCCCATCGCTAGTTAATAATAATGGAATAAAAACCGATATGATCATTGCCTGCTAAATTTTCCCATCGCTAGTTAATAATAATGGAATAAACACCGATATGATCATTGCCTGCTAAATTTTCCCATCGCTAGTTAATAATAATGGAATAAACACCGTTAATTGCCTGCTAAATTTTCCCAATGGAATAAACACCGATATGATCATTGCCTGCTAAATTTTCCCATCGCTAGTTAATAATAATGGAATAAACACCGATATGATCATTGCCTGCTAAATTTTCCCATCGCTAGTTAATAATAATGGAATAAACACCGATATGATCATTGCCTGCTAAATTTTCCCATCGCTTATTCTATATTCTGTTCTTTTTATTTTTTAATAACTTCTGAAGGTTTCAAATGAATAAACACTATCTAAACATTATTTCGTACATATTTCGAAATAAATGTATTTCCAAATTATTTTTTTTAAATATCTCCCGATGACCAATTTTCGTGATTCTGACTTTTCAGGATTCTAAATTACAGATGTCTGATCTTTCCAGATTTTATAAATTCGGGATTTTAAATTTCAAGATTTCGGCATTCAGGATTTTTAAGATTTGGGGTTGCATATTTCTTCCAGTTAAAAAAATTAATGCTTTGAAAATAAATCTTGAACATTTTTCAACCAACGGTTCGCGTTCCCGCCAACAGTAACAAAACATGATTCGTGATCCCTTTGAACGATATTTGACGTCAACGACGCGTTCGGCTTAAAAGAAATTCCCTTACTCTTTCATCCAGTTTCCTCACCAAGCTACGTGACACTTACACTTTCGCCTTTGCTTCTTCTTTCTCACGCATACAATCACTTTTCCTTTCATGTTGACACATTACTACAAACAAGGGTTGTAGGAAGTTTAACCTTCTTTTCTTTATAGTGAGTTGATTCAAATCCAACAACAATCTATCTATCTATCTATCTATCTATCTATCTATCTATCTATCTCTCTCTCTCTCTCTCTATATATATATATATATATATATAAGTTGTATAAGTTGTAGCTTCTGTTTGTTATCGAAATCCTCTTAGGGGTTTGGCGATAGACCCTCATAACTTATATATTCTGAATCTACATTATCCAGGGTACTTTCTTTTTGATCAAAATGAGGCCACACACACACTGAAATTGTTTTCCCTTTGGTATAAATTAAATTTAAATTTGAACAAGGCAATGAGTCCTAGGGTACTTGGATAAGTGCATTTCATTTTGATCAAATGCCCCCCCCCCGCAACACGTTTGATCAAAATTAGATTTCTATTAGATTGTAAAATTATCCCCCACCGAACTTTTTTTCCCTAAAAACTTTGAACAAGAGAATATCTCCTATCCAAAATATAGAAGGAGAAAGCCAGAAGATGGAGGTCACATCGGCAAGATCAAAATGAGTCAATATTGACGTAAAGTTGAGCCAGCAAATCACCAATCAGTGAATAGTGCCTTACAATACATATTTGTTGCGAAAATTCTACTGTCGTATCAATGTTGAAATCTGCTCATCAATTTATACAATAAAGTATTATATCAAAACATGTCAAAGGGGTCAGGGCAATTGAAACGCCTTTACAGAGAATTGTTGGGGAAAGATTCCATGGGTCACCGTTGGTTGAATAAAAACAAATGAGAGAAAAGATTGTTCCGTTTCACATAAAATGATATTTATTTAAACGTAAAATACATAGATTTTATCTATAATTACTTATCATGAAACTCCACCGACACTTTATTCCTATATAACAAAGAGTGACAGCATTTGAACAATACAGAACCATATTAAGAAAATGGCCAAATTAGCGATTCTAGATAAAATGAATTCAATGAAAGCCAAAGAGTTTGATGTCTTGAAATGTGTTTGATGCATGATCAACGTAATTCGAATGGTACATTTCTTGATCGAATAGGGGCT